CCTTGTGCTTGTTTGTAAGGGGGTTTACAAAAAGCAATGATCTGTCTGTGCTACGTTTTGAGCTACTTTTACCACATCTAGTTCACGTAGCCAAGCAGCACCTTGATTTTTATAATTGTTTTCCAATTAAGCCAATGTTTACTCGCTGAATGAACATACACTTAAAACAACAAAATGTTACCTTCCAAAACTTATTCCTTTAGATTGTGGAGGACATTTACGGTATATGTAATGGTCTAGAACTAAAGCAATATCCATCTGAAATAGTTAGATAGGTAAGTGTATCTATGGTTAGTATCACCAAGTGGTATGTGTCATGTTTTCTTAATGAATGTATGTCCAAAAAGAATTCAGGTACTTTTGTAACAGGCTAAACAAGCAGAAGCTACCAGAGAAAGAAACTGAAAACAAAATACAGCAAAAACCAGAGGTTGTATACTCCAATTACAATAGACCACAGAGATTCTTCAGCACATACTCTTATACAGGCAGGCTGGCAGCGTTCAGCTGACGTAGCCTGTTGAAACCAAACTAAAAGATCTTCAGGTTTGTCAGTCAACAACCACACACAGTGACTTCTCTGGAGCTTTGGCAAGTCATGTTGGCTCTGGATTTGACATTTCTGGGAAGTTAGGTAGGCAAATATTGTTTGAACCTTGGAAGTTCTCGTTGGAGAGCAGAGAGGATATTTATCAAAGAAACTTATCTCACGGTTTGCTTTTTTTTTTTTTATAACTACTGTTGGGAAAAAAAACGCATGCTAGTGCTTCAGGAGAAAAAAAAGGCCAAATACATTTTGAAAAGGAGGAAAGGGCACTATGAGAGAGAAGTAAGGAAGATACTTGTAGAGTGATTTAATCTGTCTATGAATCATTATCCCACCTGTAAAACTGGAGTAAGAATAGCGTAATCTTCCCTTTTTGTACATTCTTTGTTCTGTCACTTTTGAGGATATTTTTTATAATGAGCCTGGTCATTATCTGTGACATTGAAAAGTTTCTTATTCGAGTACAAGTTCTTCAAAGATTTTCTGCCACTAGCTGTCTACTCTTGAACTAGTTTGCTGAGTGCTCAGGGAATACAAGACCAGTCCTAAAGAGATTTGTTTACCTTATTGTGACAAGAAAGGTTTTTCTTCTCTTCTTTGGAGCTCTGATTAAAAGTAGTTTTATTTTTAGACTACTTATTTGTGAAAAGATTAGTTAAAAGTTGATTCAGAAAAAAATTTCTAAGCTACAAATGTGCAAAACTGGAAGTGAGCAGGCAGAGGTGTTGCAAAGGCTTGTCAGTCAAGTTCATTTTCTTGATGTTATCTCAGACATAGCCTAATTTGTCTGCTCATTGCTTTACCAAAATAGTGTATTTTATTGGAAAAATCATTTTCTTTAAGTTACAGAAATAACACTTCTTTAGAGGAAAAACAAAATCTCTCCACTCAGACTAATTATTCGGAGTGTGCGAATTTGTTAGCAGATGTAAGAGTTTTTACTGAAGGCTGCAAGGGAAGAATGCTGTTATGATTAATGAATTTCATTTTGACAGAGTGGGAAATTAGTCTCCATACATTCTTTACCATCTCCTTCATTCATTTGCACTTTTTTCTTTACTGAAAGTAGCGTAGCATCAATTAGTTGTTGATCTAACACTGGGTGCAGATCTCTTAGGTGACGTGTACAATCAGGTCAAGCTAGTGCACCTAATATTAAATTTACATTGGGCTACTATAGTAAAGATAGTTTACTGTTACATTTTTTATTACTCTAGCTGTTAGAATGAGCGGGAATGCTGGGAGGATTATTTCATCTCTGTGCTGCATTCTGTAAATGCAGAAGTAATGTAGTGTCACCAGATTGTTGATAAATTATTAAAACTACCTCTTCTATCTGGCGTCTCTGAATGTATCACAGCTTTTCCGCCTTTCAGAAGTATCAGTATCTTCATTCTCTGCCTGCTGAAGAACAACTCACTTCTCACCTTCCTGTACCACACCTCAGTGAACACTTTTACTGAGCACAGAAAGTGGAGTGGCTAGAAGAGGAATACTGAAAATAGCATATGTTGTCTTTGCCTTGAATCCCCTGGACTGATTTTCCTGTACAGATTAAGCAGAAGTAGGAATCCCCCCCAATGCTTTTTGCAAAGCCACAGAGCTTCTGCACAGCTGTCACAAGTGACTAAAGCATAATGTGCATCTCATTATATATTGCTGTTTCTGAGAGGCTGGCCAGGTAAGTAGAATCATGCAGGGACAGCTCTGTAACTTTAACAGTAAATTTCCCTGCAGTCCCACTGCCACAGGGCAGGCCAATAGAAATACTTGTTCATCCACCCTCCTGTTCTTACATCACAAATCTATGCTGGTTTTGGGGCCCGGCACAGGAACTTTACAGACACGTAGCAGAGCTGACTCAGTGTTAAATGTTTAGACACTAAGATGAACACGTGAATAAATCCGTTGGTTGTGATAGGTCTCACCATGTTTCACTAACCCAATGTTAAAGCAGCAGAAGATGTGTGAGAGACAAATGAGGAGATTAAGGAAAAGGGCAGTCGTCCTGACCATGGGTGTAAACATTCCTTAATCAGCTAAGTGTACATCAGAGGGAAATCGGTGCTGTGTCAGGAGAATAAAAGTCAGGTATTTGTACTGAAGTACCAGTTAATGATTTTATATATGCAGCATCTCCCTGAGAAGCAAAGCAGGAGCAACATTTCTGTCAACAGAACAGATATGGTGATAAGGGTCACATAAACGCCTCACCAGTGATGGATCTCTGTATGTCACTGTAGAAATACCCTGTTTAATATTTATTTTGGGTGCACAGCTAAATGCAATTCAGGACTCTAGCAATCACAGAATCACAGAATGTCAGGGGTTGGAAGAGACCTCGAAAGATCATCTAGTCCAACCCCCCTGCCAGAGCGGGACCACCCAGAGCAGGTCACACAGGATTGTGTCCAGGCGTGTTTTGAATGTCTCCAGAGAAGGAGACTCCACCACCTCTCTGGGCAGCCTGTTCCAGGGCTCTGTCACTCTCACAGGGAAAAAGTTTTTCCTTATGTTCATGTGGAACCTCCTGTGCTCCAGCTTGCACCCGTTGCCCTTGTCCTGTCATTGGCCATCACCGAGGAGAGACAGCTTATATTTTAAGAAAATTAAATGGTTTCTGGGTTTAGCCTAGTTTCTTAAGACAAAGATGTTTATTTGATCCATTGGCGTCTTCCTATATTTCATATGTCCTTGCCAATAGTTTTTGAGTTTTGTGGTCAGTCAGAGAAATTTCACAGATTGCCTAATACTACGTCCACCATGTTCTATGAAAATAGGTGGTCAGACAGAGATGAGATCCTGCCAGTATCTTCAGTATGAGCTTATCCTGTGATAGACACCAGGGAGTCCATATGAGGGGGTAATTTATGAAAATCCCAGTTATAGGAGAAGATTCAGTAGGTGATTGCAGTTTGTTAGATGTCAGGGAAGCCAGTCATAAGACAAAAGGAAACCAGGCTTTGTTAGTTTTGCTAATCACAAAACAGTGTGTTTTTTAATTACCAGAGATATCTGCAATGTTTAAATTTGGAATACAGACACAAGCATTTCTGTGATACTGAATGTTGTCACAGTGAGGCAGCATGAAAGCTCTGCATACCATCTTTAGTGACTGATTTGCCTTGACAGTAATAATACCATTTAAAGTACTTTATACTTCCAAAGCCCATTAGCACCACTAATTAATTCTTAGAACACCCCTGAGGGGTGCCAGTTGGGAGATAAGTTATAGTATTACTGTTTTAATGTTGGAAACGCTGAGACAGATCAGAGCGATAGTGCTTGGAATAGAATTCAAGTAAAAACTCTTTAATCTAGTGTCAAACTAAGACTTTGCTGAAGATGAATATTTGCTGCTACACTTTAAAGCTGTATTTAAAGATAACTAAAGCTTTGTTACATTTAAAATATTTTTGTAGTATTACTGAATGGATATAAAGAAAATTTGGTTAGTATGGATGCATGAGTATGACATAGCTTATAACTGGTGCCAGGTCTGTACTAGCCATGAAATATCATCAGAAAGTTTTTCACTACCCCAGACTTCCGCAGTCAATGTTAGGATACGCCAATGAAGTCATAAAAAGCCAACAAGGACCAGCAATAAACAGTCCTCATTGTGGCTTCTAGCAATAAGCAGCAGTAAAGTTTCTTTTTCATTTCTGTGCAAATATATGCAGGATGGGAATAAAAATTTGTATCCACTGGGAACTCTGCAGACTGCAAGGGAAGCCACCTCACTCTCTCATACATGCGGTAGTTTCTCATGAGGGGTTAGTAAGACACTTCAATTTGCAAGGAATTTTTCGGTGTGTGGTAGTCTGTCCCTACTCCTTCTCCTTACCATGGGAATGAAGGTCTTTGAGAAAAGCAATATATCTTTTAAAGAAAGCAGCTACTTCCCTAGGTTTTTCTGATTGCCTGTCTTGTCTTGCTGTGATGTTTGTGTATACTTGTTGGGTTTTTCTCGCAAACTTTCTGCCATGTAGTGGAAATATTCTTTAAGATTTTCTCCCTTTTTTAATTATAACATTCTAGGCTACTGCTTTTGTGGTCTACTGTACATATTACATAGCACTCCTAAATGAATAAATTTGACCGAACTGTATCTTTCCCAAGATATTTGTTAAATGATAGCGTTGAGAAGTACACACTGTAAATTAAGTAATGATTTTAATGGGGATGTTCATGACATTCCTAAATACAATCTATATGTATATATAATTTAGTCAAGTTAATCTCTTTACTTTCTCTTATAAATAGTCATTGGAGTTTTGTCCCTGGCGATATGGTGTGGCCTTCTGTTCCACTGAACGCTGCAGGTTGTTTGTGTTCTGTCACTTCATGCAATTAAGCCAGTGTATGGAAGTCGAGGAAAACGAATCAGACAGCAGTACAAACTTAAGTACCTTATGTATCACTCACATTTTGTATTTTGTTATTTTTACAGTGAATGCCATAACTCTACAGATAGAATAAAAGTGAGAGTATGGGATGAAGATGATGACATCAAATCTAGAGTAAAACAACATTTCAAAAAGGAATCAGATGACTTCCTCGGGCAAACGATCATCGAAGTAAGAACATTGAGTGGAGAAATGGATGTATGGTATAATTTAGGTATGATTCTTACTGATTTTTTTAAAACAAATTTAGGTAGAATCTCAGCATCTGTATAGTTGGGACTTCAAATAATAAACCTTTGGTACCGATACACAACTTTTCAAATCTTAAATGTTACAGGTTGATTTGAAAATAAAAGATACTTTCTTGGTTTTGGTCCAGACTTATGGCAATTACAGAGAACAGACTAATCACAACCATGTCAAAGAAAACTATTTCATTTTAATGCAAAATTAAAAATATGTAAGAAAACATTTCAGACTAGTCCATTCGCAGTAGCATTCTATGGGAAATACATCTACAAAGATACATAGAAAAATCTAGCAAATATTTCGCTTGTTGTCCACCTTCATTTTATGACATATTTAAAAAAATTATTTATGTACCGTTCTGGGCCTGATCATCTTTGTTTTTCACTGTGTTTACACCTGTGGTTCTTCATGAAACTTGCTTGCTTGGGTTTTCTTTTCTGTACATGTCAGATGTGATTATATGCAGAGTCAACAACTGAAGACAGCTTGCTGAAGCTCAGAATGTTCTCCATGGTCCTTAATGACTGCACTTTCTTGTTTGGACAGGACTTAAGAAATATCATTCTTTAAACCAGAAATAAATAAGTAAAAGTGTGTCTCAGAATATACGTCCTTTAAATCTAAGCATACAACTGATCCTTAATTCTAAAAATCCCTTTGCATGCACTAAATATTCTGAAGTAGCCCTTTAAAAGTCAATCTCTTGTATTTGATAATCCAAATGTGATAGTAACGTTTTATCTAGGTTGCCTGCTCTGTAAAAACTTCATAAAAATTTTCTGAAATTGTAGAGCATTTGTTTCCTAATCAGCAGTCCTTGTGTCCCTGTCTAGTGTTTCATTTTCCAGTAACATATCTAGATGTGTCAGGGAACGATTTGATTTCTTATTAACAATGAAAAGAATACCTAGCTTTATTTCATATTTATAAAGAGATTTTTTTTAAAGGTTAAGATAACTGAGTCATTATGAATTCTTAATTTTATTCCTTCAAAAACTTCATTGACTTAAAGCAGTATAAATATGGAATCAAATTATTACGAAATGGATTTCTAAACCAAATTTTGCTGAATTGATTTGTCTGAAACAGCTTAATAATAACATTGGAAAATCTATGTGCTCTGCAGAAGGAAGACTCTAGAATGAAAACTTTCAATCAGCATCTAAAAAGAAAAGTTGGGAAATGCCTCATGATAATTCTAATATTCTAAAAAAAATGGTGTGTTTTATTCTGATATGTACACACAGTGACAACGGCAGTATGTCACATCATATGGAGGAAAGAGAAGTGAAATAAACGTAGCAATTGGATTTGTGGAATACCAATTCTTATCAGTTGTTCATCACCGTCCACATCACAGCACTTTGTGAAAGAAGCATAAAAACTGTAATACTTATCGAGTCAGTTATACTGCTAGAGTGGACTGGAAAAGTGAAAATTTGAGTCAAAGTTCAGTAGCCTCCACGAGTGACAGCGACTAAATGGACAGTACAGATAGCATAAACAAAGTTCTTCATATTTTTTCTTCTCTAGGATGCAGCTTAGCTCTATAATTGAGCTCTGCTAAGAACGTTTTGAGTTTCTCTGATATAGTAGTTCAGGTTGTTGCTAAAGCCTTCATAATAATAATTAGCACATATACCAGGTAGAAAAGGGAAAAGTGTTAAACAAAGCGCTATGCAGCCTGGTTTGCATTTGGCAGACAAAATAAGAAAGATTCTTTACTTTCTAGTTTGATATTCTGCTTCATGTCCTGAACCATATGTGAGGTACTAAAAAAAATCCTCTTGTTCTCAACAGCACATCTTTCTGCTTTTTAAAAAAAAAAGCTTATTAATCTAGAATGATTTATGAAAGCTTTTCACATGACATATACGTATTCTTGTTAGTTACTAATGTATTATTTTTCTGCTCTTCAGAAAAGCGAACAGATAAATCAGCTGTCTCTGGTGCCATTAGATTGAAAATCAATGTTGAAATAAAAGGAGAGGAGCAAGTTGCTCCCTACCATGTGCAGTATACATGTCTACATGAGGTATGTTGTAGAAGTTAAAACATACTACACAGAAATTATTATTCAGTTGTTGCATGGGTAAGGAAAAAAGGCTACAGAGCATTAGAACACTGAAACAAATAACTGGTGCTACACCCGAGGACAAGTTTGTTTGAGATTCCCTACTTCATATTGCTGATGGCATATCAGATTCAGAGTCAAAGGCAGAACAACATCACTCCATTCCTGCTTGTAGGAGTTAGAAAAAGAAGCGGTTGCTTCGGCTAAGTGCTTCCTGTACCCTACTTCATTTTAGTGTTCTGATGCTCCGTAGATGCTCACTAACATCAAGAAAATGAACCAATTCTGTATGTTACAGACATATAGCTATTCATTATAAAGTACTTCTTTCCTGCTACATTAATTCATATTTTGGAGAGAGGAAGAAGAAGGAGGAGAAGCACAGATGATATTCAATTTTGTTCTCCTATCATCTAGATGTCTTTTGTCAATGTTGAAAAATAATCACCACTGATAAAGTGTGTCTTTCCAAAGATTTTATTTATATTTGATTCCTCTTCCCTCAGTGGTCCACACTGAAGTTCTACTCTAAAAATACAACTGTTTTCTGAAAGCTGATAGATAATATATGGCTGAAATTTCAGCACTAGTATATATCCACAAAATCCCATTATTCACCCTTTGTAAAATTGAATGTTCAGGTCATTCATGCTAATAGGTTTTGACCTGATATTGCAAACTTTTTGACCTGTGATATAAATGGCAAGATTCTGTTACTTTAAGATAATCCACAAGGCAGTTATGGGCTAACCAGCGAAACTGAAATGATTTCAAAGTTTGGGGTGTTTTTGGACACTGAAAATAGGAAATAAAATCTGCTGCTCAGATTTTGGATACATATGGAGCAAGGTAATATGAGAAGCATTTTGTGATATTAATGTCAAGTTAAACACTAGCTTTGGTCCTAAGGTTGCTAAACCTAAACTTTGTTGCATACCTTTCCCTTCTTGAGAGGCTTCTGCAATATTTCTGATGGGTTTCCTGTAACTTACAGTTCTTAAATATGAATTTGAAATTTATTGAGTTGAAGCACTGCGTAGTGAGCATTATAACATCACAATTTCATTCATTAGCAAGGGCATATGATAGAGAAGAGAAAATTTCTGCGTGATTTTATGTTGCAGTCTCTCTGTGCCAGTGAACTGACGTGACCTTATATCAAGGAGATAGATCAATGTGCTGAATCACAAGCCTGCACTACCACAGTTCCATTACAAGAAACATGTTTAGAGTCTTGGATTTTTTTGTTTATCAAACGATGACTAGTTAGTGCTAGTATTCAGAAATTTTTTTTAGAAAAGCAACAAAAACCAATGAACATATTGATGACTATTATATAGGATATACTTCCAGAATGTCACTTAAAAGACAAAACTTCCTATTTGAATAATTTCTTACGTTTAGAATCTATTCCATTACTTGACGGAAGTTAAATCTAATGGTGTTGTAAAAATCCCTGAAGTGAGAGGTGATGAAGCCTGGAAGGTGTACTTTGATGATGCTGCACAAGAAATTGTAGATGAATTTGCAGTGCGCTATGGAATCGAATATATTTATCAAGCTATGACGTAAGTATTACCATGTCTTGTTTTCTACTCTGCTGTCAAGAATGCTTTTGAGGGAAGCGATGAGTTACAAGCCTTCATGCTTTCATTCTCCATTTTGCTCCAATTCCTGATTTAAGATTCTTGTTATCATTTTTTGTCCATCTGATTCTCATTGAAGTGCTTCTCATCTGTAATGGAATTAAGGTATATCTATAAGCATTTTATAAGCTGTTACTGGTATTATTGCAAATGCATCTCTTAATCCTTGTGATACTGATACGTGGCAAGGATCACAAAATTCCAGAGGGGATTGAGAGGGTAGAACAGGGTTTCACAAGCTCTGTACTCCTTTCCAGGCATCATCACAGAACGCCAGCAATGGCTACAGTAAACTGCCATAGTAGATGTAAATAATTAATGCAAACCATTTTTAACAGTATTAGAACCTGTTACTAAGTTGTCTGTACTAAAGTAGCTGTCTGATAGCTTTAGCACACAGCACCACTGAGCTTAGAGGCCTTAGAATACAAGAGCTCCATCATATATTCTTAATTTGTCCAGTGAAAAGTTTACCAGTGACAAGGACTATATGCTGCTCCTGACGCAGCCGTAGGAAAGCAGGAGACGCCAAATGAGTCCTCTAAAAATGAAATATAGAATTTTATGCCTATAGAAAGGTGATATTATGGAATTTTTCATCAGAACATATATCTTGTTACATGTCCATCTTTACAGTACATCCTAAAAAAAATAATCTTATAAGAAGTATAAAGGCACATAAACATGGGAAGTTTTCCTTATATAATGACACCATCTGCTATTGCAATGAACACGTCTTTCACTGTACGTAGCTCATTGTAAATAAGTATACTGTACATCTAATAGAAAGGTAGAGGATGTATTTGTAATATATACAGTTTTAATGCTGTTCCTCCATGGACCTTAAAAAACATTGCACAGTAAAATAATTAATTAAGCTTGACAGTTCCCCTGTGGCATTGTATATAGTCTATGCTATCTAGGGAGGATCTCATGTGTTGGGTTTCATGAATATTTGGGTTTTCACGTTTAGCTTCTCTTTAGCCATACATGTCTTTATGTCTTGATTAAGTTATGTTACTTAATAACTAGCATAGTATTATGGTTTCATAATTTGATTTAAATTCGTGTGCTGTTTTTTCCAAAATGTTAATCTCTAAAATAATAGAGTTCTTCCTGCTGCATGTTTCAAAATGATTTCACAATTTTATGAGCTGAATTCTCGAGAGCTATTAATGCCAAGGGAGGGCTGTTATTACTGTTATTCTTAGGAAATAAAGCAGGACTGATTTAGCATTAGTGTTTCCTCATAACCGTAGCACCAGTAAGTTGGTTATCTCAGTACAACATGGTTGTATTTTGGATGGAAAACCTCAACTGAAAGATTATTTTGAAGTTTCTTTTCTTTCATCTCTTGATGAATGCTAGTACTCTGAAATTTTACAAAGTTTGAAACTGATTTTAGAAATTCGAATGTAGCAAAACTCAGCATTGCAAAAATAACAATATAATGGACGTGTAAGTATTTAAAACGTTTTTTTAATCCAACAGTGTTAGAAATGGACAGATTATATTTTTATATAGAGTAGATGCTTTATTTTTATATCAGTAAAAAAAATAACATACAGATATTCATGAAAAGGAAGTAAATTTAATCTGAACATGTAACATGGAGCTGGACAAGTATGCAACACATTTTTCAGGAATCCTTACTCAAAAATTCTACCCAAGCCATTTTAAGTTAAATGACCTACTGTGGCTTGTCCTCTTATTGTTCTTGCTTTCTTCTGTACCTTTTCCATCCAATTTCCTTGCTGTTGATGACTGCAAACCAGGCAGCTGAGGGCAGGTGTAATAAGGAAGTGCATTCGGTGTTCATAGTCTTTCACAGGTAATTTATGCAGGAAATAAAAGATAAGATTTCATTCCCCCATGCCCATGTTGCATGTTAATAATGAGAAAATCCCTATTTGAGGGGTAGGCCACGTGCTGTTTAAGTTAGGAATGAAATCAGTAATGAATGCAATCTCAAATAATACTTGGGGAAGGATATATATTCATATACATTGTTTTGCTGATTCATCTGCAGATATGTCTCTTTGAGCATTAGGCTTTGGGGAGAAGAGTAGTGAAGGCACTAGATCTGTCATGGGGAATCTTCTTTTGGACTATTATCTATTGGGTTTATTTGTGTTTATGAGATCACCTTTTTCTCCTGGAACAACTGTAATGGCTGGGAGAAAACATCCAGCTTCTTGATTTGGAAAAGAGAATGATCAGATTACATTTGTAATGACGTCCTCCTATTAAAGGAAAAGCAATTTTCTACCATACAACAGAGAGAGAATTTGAATGTAAACACTTGGCCCAAAGGAATATTGTGTAAGCATTTTATGCTTGAGAATCCAGTTGCAGAATATTTCTATTGCATGTCTCACAATAATGTTGTAAATTAAAGTGTTTGCATTTGTAAATGCAAAACTGACTATGCTTAATAGCCCATGATCCACACCCCAGAGGGCATCCCCATGCTTCTTATGCACTGCATCAGGCTCAAGTGAATTTTACAGTGTTGTTAATGACATGCTATTTTTGTCTGAATGTAATTTTTAAAATTCATATGTTGCAGTTTTAAAATTACCTGTTATATAAAGTTTCAGTGCCACTTATGGTAGGCAGTCTTGACCCTTTTAGGTGTGGGTAGACAGCATATGCTGGAATAGGAATACATGCCATTCTGCATTTCTGAACCCAACATAAATTTAATCAAGTCTCCCCAAAGTACCACTTCCAAGAACAATTTGACATCTGCTCTGCGATGGTAATAAACAACCCCACTTGCCTATCCTTTCCGGTTCATGCTAGCAGCTTTGTCATATATGATCCTCTTAGTAAACCCTGATGATTTGTTTCTCAAATTAATATTTATTTATATATTTATAGTATATTTATTTATGTTTATTCCTTTAGAGCATAGAAAGAACATTTCAAAAGGATAGCCTTGATTTTCCAAATACCCTGAGTATACTCATTAAACGCAATTGTGGCAGCTCAGCAAAGATAAACAAGCATTTCCATCAGTTTATTGTTTCAGTACCTGACTGCTTCATGGAAAATCAGTCCAATAGGTGACCAGCTACAAGTCCTGAAAACATAAAGCTCAAGCTCTTTTCTTCTCTCAACCATCACCAGCAAAGAAGTTCTGCATCTTCTGCAATTTAAAACATGTCATGTGTGAGTTAGTGGTTGATTCTAGATCAGGAGGAGATTACCTGTGCATCACCAAAGACTTACTGGAATGTGGAAATCAACCCAAAAAATATCACATAGGGGGTTACTTATCTGCTTTAGTCGTTGTCCCCAATGAGACCTTTTTCAGTAAACTTATAAGGAGAATGAATTCAAGTGTGATTGCACTTCTGTCAAAGGCAGAGACATCCATGTTTTCATGAGGCTAAATATACACAGTTCTGCCCTAAAGGATGCCCACTTAGAAGGGTTGTTTTACTCTCAAGACATGGGTTCCAATTGCCCACTTCCTAAGAAAGGAAATCTGCTTTTAAGTTGCAAGATGTGTAATTCACATGAATAGAAAATTAACCATTGACCCAAAAAACAAAAAGGCTATTTGTGCTGCAGTAGCTGCAGCTCTTTGAAAAGGCTTGAATGTATAGATTCCATAACCCAGTGGTCTGTCTTATAATTATTATGTTCCTCCACTCCTCACGGAGTCTATTGGTAAAAGAAATGAAAGACAATTCCAGCCATTCTTATATGGATCAGAAGGCAGATTTCTTTTTTCTCTGATGGATCACAGCCAAACAGACACTGTTAACTACGTGAACGATATGCACATACTCCCAGAAGTCAAAGCACATATCTGTGAGAGAATAGGAAAGAAAATAGATTAATAAAAGCAGAAAAACAGCTCGGTGATCCAGCTGGCCTTTATTTTGATGACTGCAGTGATGGATGGTGATTTATGCTGTAAATTCAATGTCTTGAAGGAATCGTAATGAAAGTTTATTTATCTACATATATTAAGCCACCTCTCCACCACTAAGAAAAAATATTTTTCTTCCTCTTATTCATCTTTCAACATAACTTGTTTCTCTTTAAAAGGCAAAAAGCAAAGCATGTATTGAAATAGTGTTTGACTAGACACTGAAACTATTCATAACGTCAGCATCCTGGATTTACTGTGTTGTGAAGTCAAGTGCAATAAAAGCTCTATTAAACATAGTTCTCATTCCATCAGGTTAATAGGCATTAACTATGCCATCTCGTTCTCCTGCTAGTCTTCAATTAGTGTAGCTGTATTGCAAAAGGCACACAAATCACCCATTAAAGTAATTTTCATTGATAGCATTTGCTTATGAAGTACAGCACATCAATTAGCCTTCTTTCTTTTCCAGCTCACATTAGCAGAAAGATTGGGAGAATCACAGATACTGCATGTTGGTCAGGAAATTGCATAGCAAGAAAGCTGAAGCAAGCAGGCCTGATTCTAGACATGTGACTCTAGCTCAGACAATGCAGTATTACTCTAAAATATGTTAGACTGAGCAATGGTTGCTGTGACATCACATGTCCATTAGAAATTGTTAATAACTCATGCAATTGATTGCTGTTTTCAGAGACCTACAAAAAAAAAGAAAAGAAGTTTCCTCTTTTGTTTATTTTAGCAGGCAGAAGGAAGCCAGGTGGCTTGCAGGTTTCTTACCTGGGTTATCAGCACTCTGAGTCATGACCCATACTGCAGATGACAAACTTAATAGGTTCTGTGAACTTTATAGATTTTAATTACATGGAGAGAAGCAAAAAATCTGTCACTTGAGAGAGATGCTTTATCATCAATTTCACTAACCAAATTATAGGCGGAACAGTGCAGTAACACAATAAGGACATAAATATATTGCATTGATAGGTTTAAATTTTCCTCACAACAAATTAGTACAATTTGGGTCTATTTTCGAGAAAAGAGCTCTGTCTAGGCCTTGGGTAGCTCAGTGTGAAATTGTTAGAAGAACCTGCAGAAGGCACCTCGCTGAACTTCAGATGTTGACCCAAACAATTTTTCTACCATCTGTTATGCTCCCTGCAGGCAATTGATAAAATCTCAATGGCGTCTCCTATAGTGAGCCGTGCTCCTGGCTGCTCCTTTTGTCTGCCTTCTCCCCTCAGCAGAGCATGTGTCACAGGTGCTTAGGTGACCCTAAGGCCAGTGGGGTTATTAGTGCTTTCTTATCTCCAGCTTGAAGTTCTTCATGCACCAGGGATGTTTAGGATTACTAGAAAATTTTTGGAAATTAAAGTTCAGTGGTAAAATATATGTTAATTATTTTGGTGTCAATTTGAAAAAAAATAGTTTTGATCATCTTTACATATGTTTCTTAAAATGCACATGATGAATGGGTTAGGTGAGATTTCTATTAACGTCAATGGTTACCTGAGAATCAACTGACATCACTATTGTATTTTATACAAAGGAGATTATTGTTATCGTTGATAAGATGCATGCAATGAAAGGTTTTCCTGAGGAGTTGGTAGCTGTGTCGCACTTTTGTCAGATTCGTGCTGCAGCATTCAAAAGCAGTTCTGAAAAACAAGGTTTGGTAGCATTATCCCTATGAGCCACATATCTGGGAATGCTGAGTTCTAGTCCTGGGCCATGTGATTCATTTGCTGTGTAGATTTGAGCAGTTTCTGTGTTTTGTAAAATGGAGATAATAGCACTTAATTATTCACCTTACAGGAATGCTGAGAAATATTTGCAAAGCACTTTGAACACGACTGATAGAAGTTTTAAGTATCTATATATATCACCGCATTGATACAAGACTATGTGATATATAAACCCAGCTTGAAAATACTTTAAAGAGACTCTAATGCTAGAGATAACCTACCAAGTGGGTCTCCTGGCTTGGCCTGGAAAGGCTGCAGATACAGATAGACCTCACATATGAAAACTGTAGCCCTAGATTCTGTTTGATATGAGCCTGCCTCTCTTGCCTCCCACCACCAGTTTGACCCCTTCTTTTACAGTCTCTTTGTCTAGTCAGGTAAACTAGAAAATCCAGCAATTATTTCAGCTCCTCAGCCTAGTTTTGGGGCGAGATTAAGGGCTTTATTCATCCCAGTATCCTGTTGAAATCTTATGTCTTTAACACTTCGGAGACTTTGGATGATACTTTAAAGTAGCAAAGTATGAATATGTGCTGAGATTTGCTTTAGGTATTTGTACATGCATAATTAATGACTTGATTTTTTCTTGGGAATTATGACTTAAATTATAAGAGGATTTATCTTGAGTGAGATGGAGAAGAGTTAGAATATTACAATTTTAGAAGTTTACCAGCCAATTGCTGTTTAATTACAGGGTCAGTTGGCATATATCTCCTGTGCTTTATTTTTTTAGAAAAAAATAGAAAAATACTTTAATTTATGGATCACACACATGTTTTGAGCACTCACTGGTGTTAAAACACACTTTAAGTCTAGGATGAGTCCAAAACATTTGTCTTGTGACTTGACCATAGTGATCATGTAACTGTAGTGATAGCTGGATGTGTTTAGCACCACATTTACCTTACTGTGAGTAACTGATTCTGTTTCAAATCTCTTACCATGTTCTGAAGCCTGTTTCATTGACAGGCTGTTGAGGAGAGCAGTTTGGCCCATAATTTTATGGTGTCCGTTTCCTATACCTAGCTACTAAATGGATATCAGATACATTAATGAAGACTGATTCCTGAGCCTGGACACTTGGGGAGTTTTGGAATTTTCTTCTTTTTTAGCATATCTGTGACCTGACACAGATTTCTGAAGTAAACATTACGATTTAGATGCCTTGTTTGCAAAGTAAATGGGAGTGTTGGAAAGGGCTTCATTTGGAGTGATGCAAGGTACTTAACAGCCCAGAGCATTTTTTAGACCTGTTTCTGAGTCTGTAGATGAGTATCTGTAGTAATCTGTAGTAAGAGCCTCTGCACTGAGAGGGGAATGCTGGAAAAGCAGAAGCAAGAGAGACTTTACATGCTGCCTTCTGCTGACTCGTTCCATTCCTGCATTTCCCTTTTAAAAACTATAGGCTAGCAGAAGAAGTAAGAGTTGTTTGGCAGATGTGAAATTGCAGCCTACCCTGAAGGGTTATGAACAAGGCATTTGCAGATCTACTAAGTCAATGGTGTGGGAGACCATAAAAAAGGAACTGTTGTCTCTTCAGTAGAAGCAAGGCTCTGCAGTCCTTGAACACCAGAAAGCAGGGATATGATGAATAGAGTTGGTCACAAGAGCATGAGGCAGGCCTCAGAGTGGAGGAATTTAGAGGACCACTGGGGCAATAAGAGGGTATCAGAAAGCATAATGTAGATTGAGTGTACAGGCTTGCCAGAAAGTGTGAAGAGCTCATTTTCTTTATGTATATCTATATTTCTATATATATTTCTATATCTTTAGGAACAGGAATCCAAATACAAGATGTAAATCATCTTGAACAACATGGTTGAAAGATTACTTGGGCAGTGACAGCAGTTAAGGGTACTTGGCTTAAGTTTGGCAGGACCGAGTTCATTTGTACCTTGTGTTAATCTTTTTTTCTTGGATGGTCACCAGGGCCCAGGTGGTCCAGGCCCAGCACGCTGCTCTGCCGTATGCTCCTACAGAGAAACAGCAAAGAGAGGCCAGAGACTCCAGCAAAGAGCAGCATTCTGTCAAATCAGGACCTTCAAACTTAGGGAGCTCTAGAGTGATTGGAGTTTCTTCATCCTCCTCTGTTTGACTGTATTCTCATTTTCACCATCATCTCTGCATAATCCCCCTCACTCTCTTTCCTATCTCTAGACATTTACTCTTTATCCCTTTATCTTCCTCCCAGTCCTGCCTGACTATAAATCTGGAAATTAAGATTTTATATTTTGCAGTGATGTTGTTCACTTTTTACGTCTGTTAGATCTTTCATCCATCTTGTGTATCTCGTGTTTTCCCATGTTATAAGCTCTTTGTATGTAAACAGGCATCTTCTGCTGTTCTAAACAAGTAAGCAGTGCTGCTACACTGCAGCGCTGGTTTTGGCTGGTTCAGGTTTAATGGACTGATTACCTAAACTTTACAGGCTGGAATCAAAGTGGAACAGTTTCAGTTATGATCTAATCAAATCAAGCTGAACCCAGAAGTTGTTTGATGCCTTGCCTTTCATTAATAATGTAGCCTAAAATACAAGCCACACTAAAATGTTGTTCTGAGTCTTTTTGTGGGCATCAATTAAATCCTTCTCTACTAGAGTGTAAATCTCTTGTGTGGCCTTTTATGATAAGTTCATGTTTGATTTTAAGCTTGTGTTTAATAATGAATGTTTTCCTTAATAACAATTAAGATAGTTAAATCATGGCTTTGTATTTAGGATTAACAGAGTAAGAAACAAACATGAATCTTATGTGTTCAATTGGAAAATATCAGTGTGCAACAGGTGGCAATTATATCATGTTATATAAACATGTCTGGATTTTCCTCATATGGAACTGCACAATTGTCCATGAGGTAGCTTGAAAGTTGCATCACTGAAGCTGAAAAGAAATGGTGGTAAGAAAGAGCAGAATCTTTGCCATCTTTAATAACTGTCATTTTCCTTGAATTGTAGGCACTTTTCCTGTCTGTCTTCTAAATATATGTGCCCTGGTGTTCCAGCAGTTATGAGTACATTGTTGGCCAATATAAATGCTTTCTATGCTCATACTACAGCAGCAACTAATGTGTCTGCCTCAGATAGGTTCGCTGCTACTAACTTTGGGGTAAGTAGACTTTCTTTTTGATAGAATACTAGTCTTTGTCTTTTTTTTTCCTAATATATGATATCATAGTAAGTTCTAAATTCAAAAATTTTTTTAAAGTTGGTCATTTTAAAGAATTAGAGTTGCTGTTAGCTTTTGAAAATTTTACCCTGAGTCTTTGCAATCAGTCACTGGAAAAGCTAGAGAAGATACTGTTCAGTTCCCTACCTAGTGATGTGTAAGCTGTATAAGGTAGAAAGCACTGGCACACGTGCGTAGTGCTAAAATATTCAAGACTCTGTTTTTATTTTTATTGCAGTGGGGCTTGCAAACTGCTGGCAGCACTAGAATAAGTATCAGTTGCACTTGTTTTCTTGGACTGTGTCATCACTGAACTCATATTAACTGAGTGGATCTAGTCATAAATACTCTCCTCACAAGAGCCTATAATGATGGACTCTTACTGTTGTTGAAATAATGGTGCATTGTCCAAGTCCTGGATCTAGGTATCAGAAATTTTAGGAGGAATACCAGCATCTCAGGATGTGGTAGTACTTTTGTTGTTGCTAACTTACTTTCTGTGGATAAGCATCTCACAGTGAGGACTTCCTCGTCTTTGAACATGACAAAAAAAATACTTTCGCTCTGTATTCCAGTTTGTTCACCTGCCCTCACAGGGGAGATGAGAGCAGGAAGACGAGAGCAATAATTCAAAGAGGTTGCTTTCATACGTTTACTATTACACATGATGTAGTCAGAGACAGAGTATAAACACAATTCGATGCTGAAAAATGCATTCCTTCCTGCCTTTTTTTTTTTTTTTTTTGGTATGGCTCTCATTTGTATGTCTGATATCAAAGCTATTTTTCATTTAACAGTAGTTCATTTAACAGTATTATGAGAACTTGGAAATGTTTTCTAAAATACCATTTATTTACATGAAATAAAATACTAAACATAACATTAAAATGTATTAAATACAAATTATAGTTGTTTGAAGTACTGTTAGAGGTACTAGTACTCTTCTCCAGTACTAAGAATAATAGAAATATTATGAATTTCAGGATTTTCAAGACAACATTATGAAATTATACATTTGGACTTGATTCTGGTTTTGCTTTTGTCTTCCTATCAAAAGTCAGAAAAACAATTATCAGACTCTGCTCAGTAAAGTCATTCAGTCCTTGCCTGGAAAAAAATGTGAAGTTTTGTTTTGTAACAATGCTGGATGCTAAAACAAATGTTGATTTGTAGCAAACAGTGTATTAAATACAACATTCCTGCATAATTTTGTCATACACTGCCTCAACTAGTTCAAACTAAATAGTTTACATTTCATGTACAAATACCTTTGAAATAGAACTTATATCTATAAAACTCACCTTGTATAGTAAGAATACCAAGGATTGATTTTTCTCATTATTGCTGAATCCTGAATGTTCTCAGGATCTGATGCTACTGCTTAGAGCCATAAATGGTCACGTTAATTCTAAATACTCCTAAAGTAATACTACCACCATTCATATATTTTCAAATTTAAGGGATGTCATAAGTCTGTTTAAAAAAAAAAATCCATTAAGTCATTATTTTCAGGTCCATTCAATAATTTTTTTAAGATAAATATTTACTCTAAATATCAAAATTTTTTTCAATTAAATGTTAAGTCTGGTGGATATATGCACATATGAATGTACCTAGGGCTGGATCTTTACTTTGCAGGCAGCATGTTCTTGAACTGGAACTGTATCTCCTGCTGCTAGAGGTGCACTTTAAACCAGGAATATTAACGTTGCTCCATTACTGTAAAGTAAAGAAGAGTTATAGACAATATGCACTGTCAAAATATTTATGATTTAATTATTGTATTACCATGACAGCGCAACATTGCTCTGTTCTTATTCGGGTTATCTTTTATAAGCCGATCAATGGTATATTATGGAATGACTACATCTTTCTTGAAACAAGGCTACTTCGCTGTTCGAGCTCTTTTAGACTTAGAGTTTGATCCAGATTTTGAAATTTAGAATATTTTTGCTGGATTTTCTATTTTTTTTTCCCCCCGTTTTTCTAATGATCAGAACTACTTGTATCCTCAGATTGGATGGAAATTAAGTCCTCTCTGCCGTTAATGCCAGTTTACCTTTGACGCAAATTCCAATCCGATTCATAGTTCGGCAGATGGATGGAAAGACAGTAGTAAGCATCAATGACAGAGATTTGGAGCTCTCTTTTTAAACAATTGACTTATAGGCAAAATATTAGATTCTTTTTGTCTCTTGGGTCAAAAGGCATCTGAGAGGGGATACCTGCACATCGTCCATCAAAAAGAACATCTCAAATTCAGGTCCTCAGGCTACAGCTGCGAAGGATTTGGCTGACTGATCTATAGCATGACACAAAAAGTTCCCTTTTTGATTGATCCCTTAAAGGAATGTGCCAAATTAGTGGCTTTTGGTGTAGGTTAGTGCTCCGCTGATGAGAGACGGTGCACAAAGAACTCTGTTCTCATATTTTTTCAGACGTATTTGAGGGATGGTGTGGATACAATCATGCATTCTGAGAGCTATCAAATCTTGCTACTTCCAGAAACCTGCTGCTTTCACATAGACTGGCGAGGATTTCTGCACGGTTTTGTGCAGTGGACTATGGAATGTGTTCTAAAGATTCGCAATTAGAAACTCTCATTAGTATTATTTGAGAATTGCACAACCCAGCTGGGTACCTCACAGCAAAATACTTTCATGGCACCTTCATCTATCAAGATAACAAGTTCATCTCCACATTTGAAAGGCAAAACTATAACTGCGTAGTATTGCTTAGACTATTCCTACAAAAGCCCCTGTTTCTGAAGAGTAATTTTCAATCATACTTTTACACCAAATTCTACTGCAAATGAGCATAGTTTCTTACACATTAAAGGGAAGGAGAAGTTCTTTCTTTGAGAGTGTAAGCAATTACAAGGCAAATATTAAAATTTAACAAGCTTAACTGTTTTAATAAGCCTTGCTAACATAACTGAAGACTTTGGACTTTATGCTGAAATGATACTGCTACTGCCTTTTTGTTCAGAGACATCAGGCAGTGCTTTTCAATTTCTAGATGTTCTGAGTAATTTAAAAATGCATCAGTCATGCAGCATTTTCCTTTCTTAATAAGAAAGTCTGTGTCATCTCACTGGTGTATTGGACAGCAGCACAGTGTTAAATGTATACCAGATAACTCACAATATAGAACAGAAAGGGACAATTGCCTAGCCTTGAAACACAGATGTCTCAGACCAGCACTTTTACGTGAAACAATGGAAAACAATCTATTTTTCAAGTAAGTTAAGAATGGAAAGCATCTTTCTGAAAACCTGCCTGTTACAGGAACCTGCAAATTCTTATACAACATATTCTTTTCTTTTTACAGAGGGAAAAGTTCATAAAACTGCTGGATCAATTGCACAACTCTCTGAGGATTGATTTATCTAAATACAGGGTATGTGCAACGTATTCAATCTAGAGAACAACTCAAATGCTTTTTCTTGTAAATATCCCTGTGGGCTTTATCTGCTTAAAGAAGTTTGAGATTAATCCCTCTTGTGGCGCAGAAGCTGAAAATATTGGGTACTGACACGGGACCCCAAATCCTTTGGGAAAAAACCTTAGTGAATTTAAGCAGTTTAACAACAGTATTTTTTCCAATTTGAAAAAAGTTACTCTGTTCTTTCCAAAAGCTAAGAATGGGTCAAGGGGTGAGCAGATATTCAAGAAAGCATGGGATTCAATAACTATGGTTAAATTAATCTGTAACTTGATTAAGTTAATTCATCTGGGAATTACTTTCACTGACTCATGCAGTGCAAACTGCAGTTACTGCTGTATTTATTCTGATACACTGACATCTTTGCTGCAACTTCCACGCTCAGATCACAGGAATGTTGAAAGAGACTTGACTCCTCATTTTTCTACATGATAGGAATTTTGGTTTCATTTCTGCCTCCTGGAAGGTCTTTCCACTGGGGTATGTTCAAAACCCAGCCCTGCAGGAAAGAAGCATGCACTGAGTACCTGCCAGTTATCAGCCACTCTGAACTCTCTCTCCTTTTCCATTCCATTGGATCATGAAACTTTGGGCTGATGCATAAGCGATGAGGGCTCTGTCAGCTATGGCTCTCCTTTCAGTTTCTAGGAATGGCAGCCTCCAACTCAAGGATTTCTCTGTTCATCTGGCCTGCTTTCTAAAACTGAAGGACAAAGGGAATATTTAAAAGAACCCCAAGACGTTAGAGGTAGTAGAAGTTGCACATACTCAGTTTTCAGACCATGTCCTTCATGCAGCAGATATGTTCACCTTAGGGTCTTTTAATTTTGAAGAATGTTATCCAGATAGTATTGGAGCGTGAGGATATTTGGCTAACATTTGATTAATAAGAAGCCATTTAAATGATGCTGCTTCCCATCAGTCTTCCTGTTAACCTAGAGATCATAGCAAAATTTCGTATGATTTCTTCATTAAGCTTACTGCTGCATTTATGCCTACCAGTGATTTATGTACCGTGGGGAACCCATAAATCATTTTCATTAGCAACATGTAGTAGTATTTTTTACTCCATTAATGTTTTGGAGATACAATATTTTAAATCATTCATATTAGAAATACAGGAGCATTATCAGAAGTGTTCCTGTTCATGTCAGAGATACTCATCACTAACTTCCTCACAGGCAGAATTCAAGTAACATGAGAACATTTCTAATTCCTACAAGCTGATCTTTGTTTGCCTAGAGGGTTTTTTCCTAGCTGTTCAAGGCTCTTACCTGTAACTCCAGTTTCACATGATTCCCCTCTTCCCGATTCTCACGTGATTCCTCTCTTCCTGATTCGCCAGGATAATTTTCCTGCCAGCAATTCTGAAAGACTCCAAGATCTGAAATCAACTGTGGACCTGCTTACCAGCATTACTTTTTTTCGAATGAAGGTATTGTCCTTTATTTGCACAGTGACTCTAAAAACAAAAATGCTGTTACCTTTTATTTTCCATGAAAATCATACCATAGTTAACACTCTTAATCAATTCATCTCCTTCAGTTTTAAATTAAATCTCTCACCTTACTGAAGATCATTGAAGTAAAGCCATCTTATACTTTTTATGAACAATGTCGTAAAAACCATTGTCTGAAGAATAAAAAGCTGAACATTTGCTTTAAAAAATAAAGAGTTATTTGGATAATACTCTTATTCAGAGGAAAGCACAAAATTATATGGATTAATTATTTCCTAAATAATGGAAAAACCTTTACTTTTTCCACCTCTAGTGGAAATATGTAGACACTTGGGAATGTACGCCTCTTCCATCATTTGCATAATTTCATTCAAATAGTGATGCAATCTACTTGCTTAACTGAAGTATTTTTTAAATGTTTTAATGCATCTTTAAACTAAGATCACCTTAAGTCAACACAATTTTAAATATTTTTATCATTACATTTCAACACTTTTTATCCTGTTACAAAAGTATATTCATTGCCACACTTGGATGTTTTGTGTTCGATCTAATTCTGACGTTGTACCATTTATGAAATATTTTATTAGGTCCTTGAATTGCAGAGTCCACCTCGCGCCAGTACTGTGGTGAAAGACTGCGTAACAGCCTGCTTGGACTCGACTTACAAATACATTTTTGACAACTGTTATGATCTCTACTCCCAGTTAGTGGATCAGGTAAGGTCAATATGAACTTGTTTCATGCCATTGCTCATTCATTATCATTAGTTTACCATAAGTAAATACAAGGCATTCCAGTGTTCCTTCATATCAAAGCACTCAGGTTTTTTCATTTTATTTATGTGAAAAGGAGCAATATATCATAAATACACCCACAGTTGGCTACGAGCTCTAAAATGTTTAACAAGATGAGTTCCAAAATGAATGTGTTAACTCATAGCTTAAACACATTGAACATGACTGTAAAATTGCCCAGCAGCTTTAGAGATGACATTAGATTGATTACTGTTCATTTAAGATCCATAATTGGAAAATAACTTTTTAAAATCTAATATTTCACTTCAGCAGCTTTAGTGAAGAAGCATTATAATTTGCTGAAAATTATATATTGTCTTTCCAGCCTTATATTTTAACACACATGGTGCCCACTTGGATCCAAGCTTTAGTAACTTCTTGAAGAAAGCAGAGGATAATTCTGTAACGTTTCGTAATGTTAGTCCATCAGGATGAACTGCAACGCAAAATGATTATAGCATTTGTTGTATTTCAAATGCCATGCAAAAGCCTCAAGAATGAGGTTTTTTTCTATAACATGGCCAGAGTTTATTCTATAAGTAATGTTAAAATTAAGAAATCTGTATCTGCAAAATGATGTAACTGTCTAAAAGGAGGGTTGCTGCTTTATCACATTACCTCTTGTTCCTTACTTTTGCCTTCTGGGTGGTACACTGGAAAAATGGTATTTCAGCGGCTATTCTTGCCTTGAAAAGGATGAATCAAGTTGTTTGACAAATGCACATTTGCTGTGTAGTGTATAATACATAAAAACAGCATACTACATAACATAAGACATCAAATTTTATTTGAAAGCACATTTCACTGAAATCCAAAATATGAATTCCTGTATTTCAGGAGAGGCAGTACATGCTATATATTCAACTTTTATGAAAGGAGAATTTATTTTCTGTTACTTGAGAAAACTTACCTCTAGCTCCCAAGCTTTGAACATAAGAATTTCTCACCAGTACCTTAGGCATTCCACGCTCTGAGTGCTCGTGTATGTGTTTATTCTCCCACAGATTATATCGTAATCTGAGTAGCAGTAATAATTAGTAGAAGGAACAGCTTCAGACTTGACATCTATTTGCCTCATAAACTGTTCTGTTTTCTTACTAACATTTACTCTGTAGCAATTTGACCTTGTCTGTTAAATATAGTATGAGCTGTTGCTCAGCTGGGTATCACATGAGTCTGCAGAGTTTATCAGCAGATGTTAGCCATTTTAGTAAACAGCTAAAAGTAAAGTAGTCTTACCTCTGCAAAGCATTGTGATACTTGCAAAAGCTTCTTTTTATTTAAGAATTGTCACTACTTTTTTTCTGTGAATTCATAAAATAGTTTAGCCTGTCTATTTTAGTAGACGGTTTAAAAATGCATGAACATTATAGCCTTCCTGTTTGGCAGAGAATGAAAAACAAGTCTAAAGTCTCTGCAATTTTTATTTTTTTTTTTAGTAGGAAGGGCAACATTAATATATTATTTTTCTCTTACACAACTCTACTTAATGATAGTGCAATATGAAATTCTGGAATAAAAAAAAAATCCACAAATATTCACTCACCTGGAAAACTGAATTGATCGCATTTCACTGTATTTATATGCCTCTTCTATTCTCTTTCACCAAGATTTCCAGTGGGTGAGTTTGTATATAGAAACTTTAAACAGCCAAGTGTCTGTCGAGTTACAATCACTAGCAAGTACAAGAAATTTTAGTAGAAATGTGCAAAAAGCAAAATTCAAAATTAGTATAAATAGACCACATTCAAAATAACGCATCAGTAACAGTAATTAAAAACAGTCAGATATAATCTTAATAACAGATAGTAAAACTTTCTGTTTCGCAGCAGTGGGAGGCAGTTCTGAGAAATATTATCTAACTAATTAGCTTTAATAAAGATGAGTAAAATAATTCAAATTACTACCTAAATTTTGCATCAGCTCTAGAGTTGTACAAGGAAACTTCCTTCTGCATTATCCTGTTACGGTTTGCTACCAATATATCTGCGCGTGCATTTAATTTTAGAACTAGCTGGATGTACAGCTTGGTGGGACCTACAGCTCTGGCGGTTTTTCCGTGAATCCAGGTGCACTGCAGACTGGCCTGTGGTGTCACTGTTGTAATAATGAAGCAGTAACGAATATGGTAATTAACATTTCATTAGCTTCCTGTTCACAAACCCCTTAGTCTGACTACACCGGACTCCACCTTAAGCCTTCTTCATTAACTGTTATCTCTGCTCACCTCCCATCTGATGAAGCCTCCTCCTCGCAGAGGGAGGAAAGTTCATTCTAGCACGGTGGTGCAGCACAGGAGGTTCATGTTTTAGCTGCACAGTTGAGATTTGAGCTGTGAGCAGTGTGTACTAGAATTGAGGACCCCCAAAGCAACAAGAAATGGTTCATATGTAGGTCACCACCTGCTCTCACTCCGGGGAGAGACTGGCAGCTGTGGTCCTGTGGGGGCCCACTGCCGGCTCAGGGTTTTACCATGGTTCATTTCTTGCCTGAATCATATTGTGGTTGATGCTGTGAAAAAGAGCAACCTCGACAGTCTATTAAACAGTAGTATGTCCATCTGGCCAGAAGTGGTGGAGATTCCTGCGTGTCATATATGCTGTCTCTGTGTGTATGTCATGCCAACCACCTTCTGCATTTGCTGGTGTCTTCAACCTAAAATTCTCAAAGACGCCTGCCACAGTATTTCTAGAAAACATGTTTAACGTCTGAACGTGTGTAATTGTCTGACTTTAGGGTGAAAATAGAACAATGAACGATGAAAGTGAGGGTGCTCAAGCTGGAGTTTTGGGAAATTTATTACTATAAGACAAGTAACAAGGGAATCACAAAACATGCTCAGCAATCCCTGCTTCCCCTTTTTATTACTCTCTACCTTCATGTCAGAGAGACAATCACTGTTATAAAGCAAATATCTTGCAACAAAATATCATCTCTGGGGTAGAGCAATACTTCCTGGGGTGAAGAGTGGAAATGCTAACAGTATGCAAAAATATCATACTACAGTTTCACACCAGAATACAACAGAACCTATATACCAGAACACCTGATGAAACAAGACAAATGAGTACTACAGGCAGTAAAATATGACGTCTTGATGGTCTTACACGTATATTAGTGTCCTCATTATTTGAGACAAAGCACTCTGATGAGGAACTACTTCATTCTCTAGGTGGCAGACGTAGTATTTTCTCTTTTTAATTAACACTGATCTGAGTGAAGAGCTAGCTGTCTTATGTTGAAGAAAGAATGCCTTGAAAAAGTAGTTCAGGAAGCACTTTGATAACTTTCTCACTCCATTTACAAATATGTCACTGTTTCTGTTTTCTTAAGAAAACAAAACAATTTTGGCATCTTGGCTGATGCTCACAATGACTAAAGTCTCTCCAGTTATTCTTTTCACAGTCTTCTCCACTGAGTGGAACCAATAAAATGTAAATCAACCTCTTCCTGATCTCTGAAGAGCTCTTCATCAGTACAAGCCATGTCATGACTGATAGCACCAGGAGACTGGAAAAGAGCACTGGGACACCTCCTCAGCAGAATAGTATTGACATTCTATGTGGTTTTGGAGACCTTTTCAGTTGTCTGTTACGTGGCTCTGTAGTTGTCCCAGTGAAGCATAGCCCAGAAGACCAGGAACTAGCCACAATTGACTGATTCTGGAGCCAGGTGTCACACAGCTGCGACAGCACAGTGCTCTTCTCTTGCCATTTGGCTCTGCTTAGCGGTACAGCACCTCAGGTCAGGTTGATAATGTGCTAACAACATCCTAGCTTTTGGGAACCAGAGTTTCTGTATTAACAAGGTGCTGCAGATGAACGTGTGGACGGACCTATGCTTTGAGAGTTGGCTCCGTTTTGCCACACTCATCTCTGAGTCCCTGGTCACTTTTCCGCTTGGGACTTGGGAACCCAAGCCACTCAGTTGCTTTTGAAGATGTACCTCTTTTTCTTTAGTAGAAATGACAAAACTGAGCAGTTTAAAAATACAGAAGTACTGTTAAAAGTAATGTTTCATCACCTGAGAGTGCTCTGTAAAATTGCACTCTGTAGCTTCATGCTAATCAGGACTTCCATTCAGCTTCCATTCCATCATTATTTATATACAAAATATGATATTCTGACACTTAGCTTGGGGTTTGCATCAGACATAATCTTTGTGCAGATTAGTTTCTGAAATCATAGGCTGGATTTATCAAAGTTGCATCCATAGAGATGCTGTGTATTGATTGCACAGAACATTAAAAAGTAAAAACAAAGCGAAATAAAACCAGACATTGTCCTACAAACTGGTAAAATCAATGATGAGAGAAGTTGAAAGCCCTGCATTCCTCAGACCAGCCTTCAAAGATTTGTCTGCGTAATACAGATGTAGATTTTAATCCTGCTTCACACTGTGCCTGAAATTGCTTTCTCCACCCTCAGCTGGTTTTCCAGAGTGCAGAATATGTTTGCTTGTCAACAGTTTAGTCTTTTTTTCTTAAACTCAGAAAAATCCCTCCATGTTTTATCTTTTTCTTTAAGAGAATATTAAAATTCCAGCAATTGATTTTGGTGCCTCTGTGCCACGTGATCCATTCTTTGCATATAAACTCAGGTGACTAGGAAATTGATAGCAAAATGAATTTGAGAAAAATAAGATTCAGTTCAAGTAAATAATTAATTTTGATAGATATCATATGAAAAATTGCTCTTACTCAATTCCTTTTTCTGATTTTGATGTATTTACAGCAAAAGACAAACGGTCATAAATCGCATAGTTTGGATCTTGCATTAAAAAAACACATAGAATCTGCAGTATTTCCTGTGTTTGTAAATCTCAAGTGAATAATATGACTTCTCTTTAAAGATACTTCACTTACAAGGTGTTTGCAATTATCTAATTTTCCAAATGAATTCCTATGCTCTCAAAAAAATTAAATATCCTGGAACAAAATATAACATGAAATACATGAAGAAACATTCATTAGGATATCTCAGTTGAATTCCTAAACCGACAAAAACTGAATTAAGACAGCTTTGCCCAGACAAGCACGTATAACTTACTGCAGCTCTATGAAACCTTTGTAACTTCTTTACTCTGAAACTGACTGCAATTTTGTTCAAAACAGCTTAGTACACTTGATACATTCATTAAGTTTACCACTTCAGTGTTGTTCCCTGGCATTTTTGTACAGTAAAGGATGTATAGTTAGTTGTCCTAAAGCCAAGGAGTAACCAAGTCAATCAACGTGGGCGTATAAAAAATTGCCTTGTCATGTCTTGATGGTAAGACATCATCTGATGCTATTGTTTGATCTGCCAGCAGGTGCCTCTTAGGAACATCACGATTCTGCCTTGGGCCAGGCAGTTGCTGAGCTTTTACGTATGGGATCTACTACAGCATCTTCTTGGGGCATTTCGTGGGTCTGTGCATGTGGACAGCCTACCACCCACGTGATGTTACAGGGGGTCAAGATATTTTAAGTAGTCTTTCCGAAGTGAAAAGGCTAGTGAAAAAGAAAGTGGTTCTGCTAATTGGCAGACTTTCATTTGTACCAATACTTCCGGAAAGTTCTCTTGGTTTCTCTAAGAGCAGTCTGTGATTTTAGCTTGTTCAACGAATTATGTATCCATCAAAGATGAAAGACAGGCAACTTCAGAAAATCATTCTTTTAAAAAGTCACGAATCAGGAACAGTATCTGTTGACTAGTGATTTTGTCATCTTGATATATTTAGAATTTGTGTACCTCTTGACCTTTTCAGATGTATTTTTTTCAAATCTCAGTGTTGGTATTGTCCTCTATTCACTGGCTCAAACATGTTGGCACTGTATTTGTGCCAGTATGGCACTGATTGGGTATATCAAGTATATAGTTCATGGTTTTGTACTGGCAGTTTCTCTCTAATGGATATAACTTGACTGAAAAAAAAGAAAGTTACTATTACCAAGACAAGATTTTTCCACTTAATAGATGATATATTTAAGCATGTTTATACTCCAGGAACTTTGTGTGTTAATTGTTGCAAGCATATCCTTCGCTTATGTACAAACCAGTCTAATACTGGCGTTTTAAAAGGCCTTTCCACAACTTCTGTGTAAACCTTAAGTACACTGTGCCATGTAAGTGCATGTAGTGTTGTTTCCTGAAGTGAAATTGAGAACTGCTTGGGTAAGGGACCAAATCACAAGACTGAGACATGAGCTGTTATCATCACAGTTACAAAACTAGAGCAGACAAAATTTTTTGAGACCACAGAGAAGGAAAAATTTGGTTTTTTCATTTAATGAGGGCATTCTTACTGACTGTCCATAACAGGCTGATGGTAAACCCATGCCACCAGAGGAGATTTCAGCAAAGTACTCTAGAATTTAAACTTCAGCACCTCTAAAAAGGTGTTTCATTTGACTAAGAAAATGTTAAAGTGTAGTTGTATGATGCTGTCCTCCCATGCACCTTTTCTACACTGTTACGCGGTTTACCGTGACTCTCAGTTATGGTAACAGAAACATTTCCAAGCCAAACAAATTGTATCACTGAAACTTTTTTATATGAAAATAGCTCTGTTTCAAGTTAATTTTTATTCCAAGATGCAACTTTCTTCTGTCAGTTTTGTAAGTTTGCAACTAATCAATGTAAACAAACTTCCAACATTCTGTTGCCAGAAACTGCGTAAAACAAATAGTAATGCCAGCAATAATAACAATTAATGTAAAAACAATTTGAATGTTTCTGAGGATTTCTAACCCATTAGTTAGATTTTAGGATAAAGAATGGAAATTACAACTGGGCATGGGCAGAATATGCACTTTCATTTCAGAGCATAAAACTACATCTGTTAATGTGAGACTATGTTAAAAATCCCTTCTCTGAGGATTTTGAAAAGATCATCTTGATTTTTAAAGATTCCTGTGCCAGAGAATTTTTGTAGAAAGCACTTCCTTGTGCAACTATTATTTTGTGCATTAATTATGTTTTGCTATCTTTAATAAAAGAACATAATCTCCCATTCTGTGATTCACATTCATAATCGTGAAAAACTGTCTCAGCTATGTGACATTGCAGGTTTTTTTCTGTGAAATACAGTTCTTGGATAAGATACGGGACTAAATGCAAACTGGCTTTGTCTTCTACAACTGCCTTTCAGTTGTTTTGGCTTAAACATGCACTAGCTTCTGAGAAAAAATGGTAGATTAGAAATAAATCTCTCATATAGAAAGAAAATCTTTTAATAAAAGTATAATGCATACCAGGGAAAGCCCTTGTGAGTGACATTAATGCTCCGATATTAATTTCAGTTTTGAAAAGCACTCTTGTTCGCATGTGTCATCATTAATTGCTGGTGATACTAATCACACTGTCCATTACAACTGCTTCAGAGCCCCAGCTTTGTTTCAGTTGCTTTAGACACTGAAGCTCTAGCATTTGTAGATCAGCCCAGTATCTAGCAGTGATTAATGATACTTTTCTAAAATATTCCACTGTGACCACAAAACCAATTTCAATTAAGTGCTGTTGAGATTCCCTTTCTGCCATTCTAAATGCTGTTAATAGATAAAAGTTAATTGAGGTTAAGATAACATTTAATTAGTGAATATTGAGATTAAGATAATATTTAATTAATTCACTATGACACTAATACAGTGTCATATCTATTCAAAGAGATACAGGGTCCATTGGAGTGGTCATATTTGGACTACAAATGAGAAACTCAGGGAATATACGTTTCAACTTGCAGGATAAGAGGCATATTTATTTTGTGACTTACTGGTTGAGTGAAAAGACCCCTTTCTTTCTCTGACAGCTGTGTAGAAAAGGATGTGGAGACGTACTTCTGTGTAGCAGAAATTATGTGTGTGTGTATGTGTGCGTCCATACAGAGATAAGAGTATTTCTTTTTTATATTTGATTCTCTGCAATGAAGTTATTTATTGGACATTGATAAGGAATCTGCTACTTCTGTCAACTGAAGAACTGAAAAATGCTTTTGTCTAGGAAACTGTGGACTAAGAATTCATAAATCAAAACTGTAGAGACAAAAGCTAGCTGTAAATGCACATTTTAGTGAGATTAAAAGTATACAATTCTCGGTAAAAGTTTGTAAGTGGTGGATATTAATACATACTTGTAACTATACAAAAAGGTGCAAAAAATAGGCTTTAGTCAAAAGGAATAAAAAATACTGCTTTACTTACCAACTTTTAATTAATGACTGGAGAGTCACATTGGTAATCCATCTGATATGTCAGCACGTCATGTCCCTCCTCATGATTATTACAAAAATGTAATGGAGCATCTCCGGTTCTCTGCTTTGGGGGTGAAACTGGTTGCAGTCCTCTTCATTCACAAGGCGTTTACAAGAATCTTATTTCCCTGGGTAAAAAAGGAATCAAATAACAGATTTGGTTTGCTCACGGCTTTAAAATCCTTGGCCACACAATACCTTCACAAGCCTCTCTTTTGAATATTCTTGTGTACCTTTTTCTGGTATTTTTATGTGTTCAGGAATTACTTTTTTTCCCCTCCTGCTTTGTGGTGTTTTCCTCTGCCTATCTTAAATGCAGTTTGTGGTTCTGCCAATCAATGCATGTGTCCCTGGAAAATCTCCGTGCAAGATACTTTGGGCAATAGCCTTTTCTGTTACATCTATTAAAAACCAAAGGGAAACTTAACGAGTTCTTCATTTAAAGCGAACAGCATAGCAGCTGTTAGGCCTAATAACTTCAACATTTGATCCAAAACAAAACAAGAAATGTTCCTTATCACTGATTTGTTCAGTGTTTATTGTGTAGGGTATGAAAGTTCTGCCTCAGCAGACAAATTTACCTGCACTCAGTTTTGGCACCACAAAGAATTTAAGAATGTATTTAATTGAAGTGTGGACATGCACTAAAAACCGAGTCTCTATTGATCTTCTTTGCTGACCTGGCTGTCTTTTTGCTGTGTATGTTTTTTGATATATGCCCACAGCCAGGTGCAGTCTGTCACACAATCTACTGTAAGTTGGATAGACAGTCTTTGTCCAAAATTTCTGAAGATTCTTAATACGTCTCTCTTTCCAACCAAGTAATAATCTCTAGGTGGAAATCCCATAATATTTTCTCTAATTTCTCTAATACAAAGTATATTCAATCTTGTTTTAACAGGGTAAGAAACAAGAAGTTCCTAAAGAAGAACAGGGGCCAACAACAAAGAATTTGGATTTCTGGGCACAGCTTATTACTCTGATGATCACCATCATAGATGAAGATAAAACAGCATATACACCTGTCTTGAACCAGTAAGTAATTACTTTCCCTGTAAAAATTAAGAATTGTGGATTTATTAAAATAAGGAGAGGAAATGCACCTGAATCAGTAGTTGTATTTTAAATATAATCTAGAGATTTTTAAAGCTACAGAATATAACATTGACATAGTTTGGTAAAGATGATACTGAGTATTTGGAAATGAAAATGATCAGAGCTGCTCTAAAAGCAAGCCTCCAAGAGGTTTCCCACACTCCCTCCCCATTCCACAGTGTGGAAAGAAGGCACTTACATTGAAGAAAAAGCATCATCATAACTTATGTGTAGTGAGTTATGAAATATGCATCAGTAGGGAAAAAAAGAAAGCATGGAAGGAAGTGAAAAAAATCAGGTAAACTCTATCATGAATCGGGCTGTGTCAGGCTGACCTAGGGTGTTCCTTTGATAATGGAAAGTGTAGGTGATGCGCGTTGTGTCTTGGTTCAGTGATATTCTCCATTATCAATTACACTTTGTTCTATGGAAGCATATGAATATCACTTATTTCATTGAACTTGTGGGCATTATCCTGTTTAATAAAGCAATACTCTGTTTTTTCACAAGACCCACTGTCATTTTCTCGTGTAGCAATGTATCATGTCCTTTAAGATCAGATTACTTATATAGACTGTATAAGGCATCCATTTTTTTCGCTATGTTTTCTTCAGGAAAAGGAACGTTGCTTTGGTTAAAAATAAGAACTTGGGCTAGATGGAGGATAGCACATAAAGTGAGAATAAACGAACTTTTTGCTCACAGTTTAAACAGAATAGATATTTTCCAATATAGTTTTCCAAATCAGATAGAACTTGTGTCTCAAGAACTAGTGAAGCAGTGACCATGCCCAGCACTCCAAAGTGCAATCTGACGTGTTGCTGCATGCACAGCACAAAAAATGAGTGCGTTAAAGAAACAGAGACCAGACTCTCTTTGGCACCTAATTAAGACTGAACCCACCAAGTATGGAATATGAACTCTTCTGAGAATGTGTGTCTGATGTTCAGGGACTTCGATATTCTTAAAATGTAGCAGACTGAAGATTTGACAGCACAAATTAAGAAAAAGCATTTTTGCTTGTCATGATAGGAGTTTCTTTGTTTAGAGCTGAAATACAGACACACAGTACTGTGTAGGATAAAGGCTTTTGGTGTTTATTTATGTTTTGTTTCATACATTGATTCTTCTCTTTTTCTTTCAATCTGAGTTCAGTTTCATTCTGTTGTTGTGTGGTTTTATATATAGCACTTTGTTAGAACTAACCACTGTGAACAGTTTTCATTATATTTTTGCTTAATTAAGGTCAATAGAGGGAAGACATTCAGAACTGGCTACCTTTCACAAGCAGTTTAGTGTTTCTGGAAATACATAGCAATGGTCATGTACGGGCAACCTAATGGGTAATTTATTTCCCATGAAAAGCTAGCATATTCTGTTTATTAAGTTCCACCAAATATTATTGTATGGTTGACAAACCAAAGAAAGGTCTTTTTACCTAAAAATAAGGTGATATGAAGAGATGATCTCCTCCTCCTGAGCTTGTTGAAGTGTTTGGCATGACCTTTGGCTTTGTTTGGATTAGTTTTTTAATCCAATCCCCATCTTTAGCATCCTCTACCATCTTGTGCACAGCAATAAATCATGCTCAGAAATCCTTGGGCTGTCTAATTTGTTTGGAATTTGATAATCATGTCAGTCCTTTAGTGAGGGATGGTTTCTCACTGAGCTTATTCATGTGTAGGTGAAGTTTCTCTTACTTCAAACCTTAGTAAGAAAAGGAGAATCAGCCCTGTATGTGAGTCTAATTGTTGTGTATTTTGTCAGAGAACCACGGATCTTCTACGCTAATCTAACTGCCTGGGTCTCTGAAGAATTTGATCGTGAATTTTTTTAATATGGTGAATTTAAAAGACTCTTCTTGGGGACTTCTTTCTTTTTATTTTAATGCTTAGACTAATTTTTGCTTTCAATTGTGTTTCTATTTTTATTTATGTTAGAATTTACCTTCAGTTGTGGCCCCAAATGCAGATAAGTCAGTCATGACTTCTGTGAACTGTGACATACGACTTTCTTGAGCAATGTCTGAGTATATCTACCCTAGGTGGTCCCGCTCTGGCAGGGGGGATTGGACTAGATGATCTTTCGAGGTCCCTGCCAACCCCTGACATTCTGTGATTCTGATTCTATGTGAAGGTCAATTTTAGGGAAAACAAATAGAATTATATAGCTGCTTCTGTCATTACTCTTAGCCAGAAAGATATATTACAGTTGAAAAAACATTACTGCTGCTTCTGACGTTTGGAATCAAACTCCATATGTGACAGAACTATCTATAGCACAAAATGAAAGTCGTACTTAGAGTTGTCAAGTACTGATTTTAGTATTATAGCTTGATGGCAGGAAGGAATGTAATATAACATGAAATGTATAAGAAGCTCTCTTCCTTTTTACAGTACTGCTTTTAGGGTCCTCCAAGCAGTTGTAACAGTGGCCTCGAATGTCAAGCCTAGGCTCTTTTCCTTCTTCTTTACCTATAGATGCGTAGATGCTAGAACTGGAAGATTAAGAGGATGCTGAAAATATTAAATGTACATAATATACTCAGCAGCAAAACCATCTGAACAGATTAATACAGAGCAATAACAGGCATAATAAAATCTCAGTCATGTTCTACTCTGCAGTTTACATTCCTGTTTACCGCATGCATTCCTAACATGAGCGTTTTTCATAGTGCTGGTAATTCAGCCTGTCAGTTTAGTCAGAGTGAAATATATCTGACCAGATACTAAGCGTGTCTCTCTGATAAAGTGCAAGCTGGGAATGAGGGAAGACTAAGCTTTTTGGGAGTACTTGGAGATAAATATCAAATGTTATTTGATCACATGGATTTTCTATTCTTATTTATTTCACAATTTCTCTGAATATTCATGTAGTAGTATTTGTATATGTATTTATATCTATGTATGTACATCGAAGCAAACTAGAACCCTGTCCTGGTTGGGAAGAGGGCTCAGAAGGAAGACTCAAAAGTTTGTTCTCTTGCTGACTGATATTCACCTGTCGTAGGATCTTGAGCAAATCACTTCTACTTTGTCTTCTTTCCTGTTCTCTGTCTTGTCTTTTTAAACTGTAAGTTTTGAAGGTCAGTGATTTTCTCTTATTACATATTTTAAAGTTCCTGCATAGTACGATCTTAAACCTACCAGAAGCCTCTAAGTGCTGCTGTAATGCAAACAATAAATTACATATTAGTATTACATGAATAATCTTAGAAATATGAGCAACCAACTTAAAATAAACATGACTGCTGATACATAAAGCTATCTCTGGGGAAAATTGTGGCAGGAGTGGTGCACACCATAGCCATAACAATTGCACTTCCCGCAGGAAAAAATGTTCACACTTGTGTATAGTACATATACACATAAAGTCTTCATCAGTACTCTGCGGTGTCAAGTTGCGCATGTGCCTTATATTCTTAATCAAATGCACAAATAGTATTATCACAGCAAGCTAGGTTGTTATAAATACGAAGTAAAAGTTAGGGAGATTAAAACCAGGTGTATCAGCATAAGTTGCGAAGAAGACGTGATACAATTTTTAGCCCTTCCCATAGGTAAGGTACAAATCACTCAGCAAGTACCGGAGACTAGAAGCATACTGTGAAAGTTGCCAGTATTGTCCAGTAGCTCCTGGCAGATGGCAAGCCGCTAGAAACATTCTTGATTCTTTCCTAGAAGAATAAATACTGCAAAAAAGTCCTGCAGGCGTTAATCGGCTTGTCACTGTATGACAGATTGCTTCACAATAACCGAATCAACAAAAATGAACATAGGATTCATTGAAAGAGCACAGATATTTCCCACGTAGTTCACACAAACCGTCTTGCTGGTGGAGTTAGATGGAATGTTCCTTTCAACCTTGTCATCTTACAGTTGCTTTCTTTGTTTGCTGTGATAGGACTGGTATGTATTGACATTTATACTTACCATGGAGGTACTGATGGATGTTTGCTGATAGATTTCAGTCTAAGTCAGCCTGCCCTCCTCACACCTGTGTTGGAATCAGTGAGGCGGCTCCTCTAAATGGGATCTGCAAAGTCATGGTCTGTGTGACACCGGGCAGAAGATGCAGACCCTGGTGGAGTTACTGTCACTGGCCTGCACCTAAAGCCCTAACAGTGATACAGCTGAAAAAGCAAGACACCTTGCGTGATCGGCAGCACAGGGGTCAGAGGACTTTTCTTCCATGCTCATCAACACAAGGTCTGGGATGTGGCATAAGAAATATCTAAAACTTTGTCTGCTTGAAATCTTCCACCTCTGCCACAATTAGTGAAGCTGAACCAGCTCTACTGATAGATTCTGCAGGATTTAACTGAATGAACCTCACTCCTGACATTTGGGAGAAGTGTGGCAGGAAGCTTCTGTTTCTGATGTGCTGCATTTAACAAAGTACATAAAAAAATTGCTTATTTTAATTTCTACAAGGCTTTAACTTCTTTTCTTGAAATCTAGTATGCCCACATTTGCATAAGAACTCTGACAAATAGAAACGAAGTGAATAATTGAGACTTCTGTGGATAATTTGACATGTTTTAAAACGCCTATTTTAATGGAATTCTCTTGGGCTTATGTTTAAAATACATAAGAGATTGTTTGATTTGAATAAGAAATTAGGAGGTCATTTGGGTTTAATTATTTGGGGGTTTTAATCTATGGAAATCTCAAAGATCCTTTTTTCAATTCCAGGGGTATTTTTAATAGCCTCTTTTCTTTGATAGAGGAAAGACCTTTCATAAACCATGACATTTGTTACTAAAAACCCATTTCATGCAATAGAGAAATGTTAATCAAAACACAGTACTATGAAAAGCTCAGCTACCATTTTAGCAATTTAAGGACCTTAAGAAGAGATCAAATCCTGGTACCCTCATGAGCAAAGCCACTAGTGCAGTGAGTTGTGTTTTGCATAACATACTTGAAAAATTTAAAATAAAATTGTATACCCTGTACAGCTTTAACGTCCCCATGCAACTTGGTTTTCAATTATTATAGTTAGTATATATGTGACAGGAATTTTAACAACAGTAGATAACAGCTATTTATTTCTGAAAAATGTTTATAGGTAGCAATTTTTTTAATAAGCAACTTGTGTCTAATTAGTTTTTGTGATACAAGATGTTTTACTCTCAAATTGCTGTACATCAGTGAACAGGATAAAGAATACAGAGCAGAGTAGTAGAAAAAGGCTTATTTTCTTGTGTCAACATAATTCCTATGAATGACAGGGTAAAAGAAAGCCATTAATCAGACGTGAAATGGTTATTTCTAACGTGCAAAAGCAATGATTGTAGTAGTTTCCCTTGGGCGTACCTGTCTGAGCCAAGGGAAGCTGTGGTAGTGTACATTTGAGCTTGTGAAGGCAATGTTGAAAATTAGAAGTTTACTTTGCTTTTGGGATTCCACTTACTACCAGTTCTGATATAAGTATGGTCCAAAAATGCAAGAAGTGGAAAAGCAATGGCATCATTGTGTGGAGCAGGGGCTGGGGGAGTGCTGATGCTAGAGTTCTGTAGTTACAATGTGATAAGCAAGTGGTTTTACTTTCTGAATTGGGATTTTCCACCTGAATATGAGGAAAAACTTCTATGAGAGTGGCAGAGCCCTGGAAGGTTGTGGAGTCTCCTTCTCCAGAGATATTCAAAACCCTCCTGGATGTGATCCTGTGCAGCCTGCTGTAGGTGACCCTGCTCTAGCAGGGGGCGTGGACTAGATGATCTCCAGAGGTCCTTTCCAACCCCTGCCAGTGTGTGATTCTCTGATGAAGTTACCTGGAAGGCAAGCTGTTAAACTGTAGGAAACTTTCATGAAATAAAGTCTAGCTGAACTCTGGCAAGCTATGTGCTGTCATTTCCAAGCATGGTAATGCTTGGAGAAGTGTATTTTATGGCTAATGTCACAACACAGTGAGATCTACAGGCATATCAGGTGCTGGTTCGTTAGCAAGTTAAATGAATTTCACTGGCTGAAAATGTTGATCAGGTTAACTGTCCACATTACATTACTAACCTGCTTTGGACAAATTAAAAATCTATTATTTGAGTCTCTGATGAATACACCTACAGGTACCATAGCTGCCATGAAGCAAACTAATTACATGTGAAAAGTAAAAGTTTTATACTAAAACACAGTGTGCTTTCTGTTGTACGATCATTTCTGTCACTGTAATCTGCTGCTAAGAGGTCACTGTGCTGGCCAAGATGGAAGAGGACGTACGGGAATGGTAGTCAGTCCTGCAGGGCTGTGTACAAAAACATACCCATGTAACAATAAAATTGCAAATATCCGTACCCTGGCCATTGGATGGAAGGATTTCATTGGTAGGTCCAGTTGACAGTTATGCATTAAGTTTGTATTTCTCAGGGACACAGAAGCTGACACCTCTGGGTGTGAACTTCAGGTAACTGACTGAAGTCAGGTGGGATGAATCAAGGATGCTGTGTGGAACGACAGTAGTTTAAGCAACTTAATGAGAAGATAATTGCAGTTTGTGTGTGCATGTGTTTTCACAAGTTAAAATGTAGACACGTATCTATTACAGTCAATATTAAATTGACTTTTAAGTACTTCCTTAGAGCAACATGGCCAAAGTCTGGTGCTAAGAGAGCATTCAGACTGGACTGGAGGTAAAGAAATTAAGACAGTTGAAATACATTTGAGCTTTTGAACACAATTACTTTTGTGTTAACAGAATTAATGCAGAGTTCTGTACCGGAGCAGCCATGAGCGTAAAGAAAGTGTATTGGTGATCTGAGCTAGCTATTGCTTCATATTAAAGTGGCGGAGATAATGAGCTAGTTAAGTACTGTTTCTTCGCAGATATGATCAGGGTCAAACATGTCCCTGGAAAGAATATATTACTTAGATCATATTGCTACCACCTGAGGCTGCACATCACTTTCATTCTTTCTTTGGCAGTAAGAACTTGAAAAACTCTTACATTTTTACAAAAATGTGTACAGAGTATGTTCTGAATTTGATTAGTTTTACAATAAAAGGTCAAAATATTTTGGATCAAATTCTCCACTAGTGTAAAGTGGTGTATTGATCTCAAGACAAAAACCACACAGCCCTGTGTGTTTCCTCATGAATAGGATCTTTGACGATTTTATGTGTTCGTGGTGAACTGCAGGTGTGTTGTATGGCTCTCGCTGCACCGCTGTAGCACAAACAGCTGTTGTGCCACTCAGAGGTTCTTTTACATACAGTGAGAAGCAGCTGGGATCTATGAAAAAATTGTGGAAAAATACTTGATAACAGCAAAAAAATGTGTAAAAGGGACTGTTTTTCAGTAACATGAAGCATAAGACAAAAACTAAAATTTTGACTCAAAAGTGTGGATTTTTCTACCTTTTAGACTCTTCGCTGTTTTGTCTATACTTCAATGTGAAAGTCTTCAAGCAGTGAATTGGATTCAACTAGTACAAACCAATACAGCTTCACAAACAAAGTCACTATTTTCCAGTGTAAAGAGGCAATTAAGGAAAATCTGTAGTTGCTAAATGTCTGAGCCAACTGTTTCAGATTTTTCATAAGCCATCTGATTTACCTAAAGTCGAGTTGTCTGCAAGATAAATAGGTGTTTCTTGATTTAAAATGTCACGTGTGGGAGTTTGTGCAACACTCAACTAATTACTTGGGCCTCTAACTTTAGACTAAGGGAAGTTTTCATTTGCAGTTTGGGTGGTTCATATAATTGTATGACACACAAGATACAGTAAGTGCGTACTAAGGAAATGATTTTGTGGAAATATTTGCCTTTCTGTTGTGCAGCTGTAAGCATAATTTCTAGCAGCAAATAGACTGATGTATTGTGATTGATTGCAGGTTCCCTCAGGAGCTGAACATGGGGAAAATCAGTGCTGAAATCATGTGGACCCTGTTTGCCCAGGACATGAAATATGCTCTGGAAGGTAATTAGAACAAACTATTAATTACACTAGAGAGTTCAGCAAGACTGATTTCCACTGCAAATGACACCTGGCATCAGATTTCTGTGGATGGTAAGAGCTTTCTGGCATACTCATTTAAAGTGTTTCATAGGTTACTGAAAAACAAGGTTGTAAAGGGAGAAAACCAAGGCACTGCAAATAGATGAAGTTATCCGTGGAAGAAGGAGACAGAAGAATTGTAACTTTTAATGCTGCTTCTTGTTACGGAAATCTGACAGAATCATCAGCGTCCACCGACCACAAATCCGCTTGCTAGAGAGCATCATAGGCATTCTGTGTGTTCTTACCAGCTGAAAATTGCTGCCTTGCCCTTAAGAAACATTTACAGAATGATTTTATGGAGAAAGCACACACAGATAATTAAATCCTTTTGTGTTCAAAAGGCAGGATGTATTCATTCTAGTTCCAACAGAATCAAATGCAGCTTCCTTTTATTCTTTCAGACAGTACTGTGGTTAACCACTTTTTGTTCTCTAGAGCACATAATCTCCAACTAATGATTTCAGACCTGCTCATTAAAACAGAGTTAGTGCAGAAAACCAAGTAAAAATGCCTGCATGGAACTTTTAAAAAAATACTAAAGAAAAGGAAATAAGTAAATAGTCTTAAAGAAATATTACCAGCCCATATACATGTATTCACATGAACTTTTAGATCACTAGTAAAATCGTGACTCTTGAAAATAAGTTCATCAAACACTCTCTAACTAGTATTTATTTTTGCAGAATAAGAAATCGTGGCATTAGCTGAACCTCACTAATTTTCTTTACCTATTAAACAGATTTCCGCTTTAAATGTAAGAGAAATGCTAGCCAATTTATTTTTTTTTAACTTCCATAGTAGCAGGAATAGCTAACTGTGATTTTGACAACTCATGTTGTCTTCAGTTAAGCCTGCTACTAACTATAGAGCAAGTCTGCCAGTGGTGAAAATAAGAAGGTTGGATTTAAACAACAATGCAATTCAAAAGGCACAAAAGATAAAAGAAAAAAAAAAGAGGAATATTTGAAGATTACTTTATGTATTATTTGCTCCAGAATGTCTAATGCGATCAGAAGTGTGGTGGTACTTTGATGATATTGCAGATTTTTATGATGATAAAGAAAAAGGGAGAAAAGATGAGTGACTGGAATGGCTATTAGTGGAATAATTATTTTGTTCATCTGCTGTTGTGTTACTTTATTCTGTTAATTATATTGTTTGAATGTGGAACTTGCACACTCAGCACAGCAGAATAAAAAGAGGAAGAAAGGAAGGAATGAATTACAGGAGTGGTAATTATAATACGCAGCAAGACACAGAAGACATGAGAAAAAAATCTAAGATGTGGGTAGGAGTAGAGATGTTCAAACTAATATTGAAGGTCATGTTCTGTAGTCATGTCAGTGTAAATCAAAAGTACGAGTTTGAGAAAGCCAATGTCACAGGAGATCGTCCCTTGAGATTGATCAATGAAGCCAAAAGCTACCAAGAGTTGAGAAGCATGAAGACCAAATTAAAGCCAGTTTTCTGAGTTAGAACATACTCCTGGTTACAGTGAGAACAACCTTATATCTGGAGAGGCTGTAAATCAGGGGTGGGTATCAGAAGATAGCTGTCAGCAGCTCAGTGTTGTGATGGCACTAGCAGACTGCTAGCACAGGTTCATAAGAGTTTCTAGTAGCCGTTACACTGTCATGCTTTCGTGACTTTGAATGTACAGTCACACTCTGCACACGGACATCCCTGAGCACCCCAGTGCTGTCGTGTTTTAGCCATTGAACTATAAACATTCCATACTGCAGCAAGATAATTCACGAAAGATAATTCACTCTCCTTGCTAAGTAGAGCATACTGATCACTCAAAAGGCAGCTTCAGATCAAGCCATGGCTTCATTCTTGGCTGTAAAGAATAGAGCAGGAAGCTTTTGAGGAAGAGTTAATTATACAATGTATGAAATGTGGATGGTTGGGCTGGATCAGGACTTTAAAACAAATATTAATGTTAGTATCCTAATTCTGCAGAGAGAGATATGGAGGACTCATTAGGAGGCACTTGACTTTCCAAACCAGTCCCTGCCTATAGTCTCATCTCTGTGTTGCTGTGGATACTGTCTTTCTGAGGAGAGTAAATGCCATTCTTGTCATTAGGAATTCTAAGTTACTGCCCTAGAATCAGTAGTGAAACTGTTCCTGTGTATAAATAATAATTAAAGGAAATTTAAATTAATTATAAATTATTATAAATAGACGTAATTTCACCTTCTGTGGTTTCATTCCTAAACAGGAACTTCTATAAACCTAGTCACAAAACATAGATCAGTACGCTGTTTCTCTTTCCAGCTTTGCTGGTTTTTAAATCAGTTCTTTACATGGATACGCTACAAACTGAGATTGATTCTCCAGTTGTTAATGGCAATAAAAATTTTTGCTTCCAATTCTACAAGACGAGGAGCAATCCTTAACTATGGTCACACCCGATCCTCGTGGCTCTAATAGAGTTCATTAAAATGCATTACATTCTGCTATGCCCATCTCGCCTGCCAAGTCATTAGCATAGGCTGCCATCTGTTCCTATGTAGTGTCCAGGGCTGCGATTGCAATCGCTGCCTGATTCAATTTAGTATTAATCTCCTGCAGCAGCATCTTTTGTGTTCTAAAGTTGATTCCTTTCTGAATCCAATCAAGAAGAAATGAAATAGTCCAACATTGTTTGCAGAAGGATTTCTGATATAATAACAAAGATTCAATTAGCTCATCCAAGATCCTGTTTCTGGTTTTCCCCACTTTATATATTCCTGAATAGATCCAGCCACTCCCATCAGCCTAACTTCAGGAAATGAGTATGTCGTCACTCCATTCTCTAACAGAAGGCCAGTACTGGAGCATCCACTTTACATTCCTTTTCCCTTTTTCCTGAGAGCAGTGCAGAATGGCTTTTCAGGCTCTGTCCTCTCATTGCCCAGCAGAATGCGTCCTGTGCCTGCTCGGGGGATGTAGGGAGCTCCAGCTGCTGCTTTTCTGCAGTGCTGCCTACCTCCTTTGCAACGGGAGCCAACAGGCCCTGCGAGCCAGGTGCCAGCGGACGTTACGCTCCTCTGCCTTGTCTTCTCCCTTGATTCTTGCCCAGGACAGTTGAGCTAGGAGACTATTGTTGTGACATGGACAACATGGAGGTAACAGCAGCTTCCATAACAGTGTCCTTTTGCTAGAGAAGAGAGTGGTGATTGCACATCTCTATGAATACCAAGGCAGCGTATTTGCATGTGACAGTGTGGATGGCTGCTGTCAGGGGGAACAGCTTGGGTTTTGGTTGAGGAAGGAAAGGACATCCCAAAGCACAGTTCAATTCTCCACACTTACCAAGGTCATGGCTACACCATGCCAAGCTGACAGGCTTTGCACACAAAAACTGTACTAAAATCTGGTATTGAGTTCATCATTTCACCAGCCTTCATCAGCCTTCACTAGCAAGTGCTCCAGCCGCACCGCCTGAGTCACAGAAGGCAAAGGCAGGGCCTGGCAGAATGAAGAACCGCCCACTGTAGGAGAGGATCAGGTTCGAGACCATCTAAGGAGCCTGAAGGTGCACAAGTCCGTGGGACCTGGTGAGATCCATCTGTGGGTCCTGAGGGAACTGGTGGATGAGGTTGCTAAGGCACTGTCCACCATATCTGAGAAGTCAGGACAGTCTGGTGAAGTTCCCACTGACTGGAAAAGGGGAAACAGCACAAGACAGACATGGACCTGCTCAAGCATGTCCAGAGGAGGCCATGAAGATGAGGCTGGAGCATCTCCCCTGTGAGGCCATGCTGAGGGAGTTGGGGGCTCCGGGGAGACCTTACAGTGGCTTCCAGTGCTGAAAGGGGGCAGCAGGAGAGGTGGGGAGGGACTCTGGATCAGGGGTGTGGTGACAGGACGAGGGGTAACGGTTTCCAACCGAAAGAGGGGAGATTGAGATGAGATGTTAGGAAGAAGTTCTGTCCTGTGAGGGTGGTGAGGCACTGGCAGGGGCTGCCCAGAGAGGCTGTGACTGCCCCCTCCCTGGCAGTGCTCAAGGCCAGGCTGGATGGGGCTGGGAGCCACCTGGTCTGGTGGGAGGTGTCCCTGCCCATGGCTGGGGATTGGACTAGATAATATTTAAGGTCCCTTCCAATCCAAACCACTCTGTGATTTCATTCTAGAAATTCATTCAATTTTAAATTAATAACAATGTTTAGTCTTTGCATAGTATGAAAAGTTTTATGCGAACTTTAACGAATTAAGTCCACACAAGTTCTAATTTTTTTCTGATCTAATGAGCTTGAGATTATTTTGATGTATAGATTTTGCATGGAGAAGGTATCACATGTTTCTCTTTGAGAACTGAACTTCATTAGATTTGGTCCTTTTTTTTTTCCTTCTTTGCAGGTTATTCATGAAGCAACAGTGATTTTGCATGACAGATTATATGTTGTTGTTTGGCATTTAGTTTACACAAGCATATTTGAGCTTATAGGATGTTAATATTTTTGTACTATCTGGTCCTCAAATTATTCTGCATTTATGGTACAAATGAGAACAGAGAGGGAATTTCACTAGCAGTGCAAGTGATTTGTTACTGACCTCATATGGCAAGAAAACTTTTCCTTTCCAAGTATGACAATGCGAAGGTTAAAATATGATGAGAGAGTAATGTGCTGAAACTAGACATGCAATTACAAAAGTATCTTTTTTATTCTGTGTCCTCAGATGTTTCATATCTCTAACTTTTGAATAGGTCAGATCAAATGTCCAAAGCTATCCAGTGTGTTAGAAAGAGAACATTCTAATTGCTGTTATTATGATAATCTAATTCTGATAGTGACCAGGAGTCAAGACCAGGATCAGCCACAAATGAATTAGCTGCTGTGTAAATGCAGGAATAGATAGTCTTACTCCTGCAGAGCTAGGATTCTGAAGTGTCAGGCCTTATAAAAATTAAAGAACAAGAAAGTCATTAC